CTGTTTGTGCATTCCAATGCACCTATTCACGAAGAGGTCAGAGAAAGGAAGGAAAAACAAAACGATGCACCAGTTTGGAGATAAACCATCCACAGCATCTGAACGGAAAAAAATCTCAACTCTATTATTATTTCGTCAATGAAAACAGTTCCAAACAAAGTAAAATTTGAATTAACCATTGAATCTTTCCAAGTAGTGGTGATACTGAATCAATCAGTGTTTTTGAACAAATTAATCAAATAAATGGTTCAATTGCTCACTCTTAAAGATATGCTGAATTTGGAGAGACATACTTATTTGACAATTTCTGCCATATGGAGATATGAAAATGAAGTCCCTTTCATTTTTCAAATTGGGAATTTTTTTTTTTTAAGTCTTTGATAGAGTTATGAACCAGCGATGAACAAACCAGAGGTGAAATTACAAACTTTGATCCGAAGCAAAAAAAAAAAAAAAGGATTTGAAAATCAGACTATAAAACAAAAGTACAAGACTGCGTATTTAAAGTATAAGACTGCGTGTTTAATGGCTTAAATTGGGAAAGAACTTGAAACATTGTGAATGACAATCAAATTAAAAATGAGGGATAAATGTAAAGCTTCATAAAGATGTTGATTTTGCGATTTGTCTGACTGTTGGTAATTTTCTTGCCCATGCAGAACCAGGAATTTCACTATTAAACAATTATTTTAAAAATTAAGTTGAAATATTAGGTTGTTATTCCAGAATATTATGTTGTTATTCCAGAAAGAATCAGTGTCCTTGAACAAATCTGTTGAATGAATGATTCAATCACTTCTTGTCATCTACTAGCATAACGATGGAACACGCAAACAGACAAAATGAACAGACATATCAGATTGATATGAACAGACAAAAGTCGCTGTTGGATTACATCATCACTTCTGGAACACTGCTAGACCAATCAAATTCAAGGACTGGAACTACTTGCTCATACTTATATGGGTTTGTTTAAATCCTTAACTATAACCGAAAACAGTGGAAAAAATCCCACAGAATAACACTGTAGGAGGGAACCGTGGGTTTTTTGCTCAAGGGTATGATGGTGATCAGGGTTCACAGTAATTCTCCATGAATCACCCATTCCTAAACCAGATCTTTAACCACCACGACTACCACCCTTCTCTGTGCTAAAAGCCTACATTTTTCTCTAATGTACCATGAGTTTCTCATAAGGACATCTCACTTAACCTCAGGGTAACTGGCATTAGCAATAATTCGGCACAACCGATTCGATAACGACAACAAAGAAGTACTGACAGCTCGACAGATCATTACAATCTCTCTCAGGAAATGATGGAGACAGATAGAGCAAAGCATCTGATTTTCCAATGCAGTTAGCTCAAACGCCTAAGTATTTCGATAACATCAGCTCTCTTCAAATTAGAGAGGTGGTGGACAGTGGAGAACCCAGAGAGCAAACCAGTGGTGTTATAAAAAATAAAAAAACGGGTTGCTTTGGAAAAACTTATCTACAATGTGTCTTTGCATTAAATGTTAATGAAAGTGTATAAAGCACTAAGTATAGCCTGGCGTTATCACCAGAACTGGTGACTGAGCCAAAGAATGGTATGGGACTCTAGAAAATACCTACAAGCATCACATTCTTTTAACGTCTGCGTTTGGGGCCAAAGGGCTGTAGGGTTGGGAGGGGCCAGGGTACGCCTGTGTGTCTTAATGGGGGTGTGAGATGCTGACAAATCAGTCCTCACCCTGTGGTCAGGTTACCACCACAGAAAAGTGCATTTTCTTCACACAGTACATAATTTAAAGCATCACTTACAATAAAACTTCAGTAGTCTACAGTATTAGTCCGCAAAACCCATGTGTTTGACATAACAAAAGAGATGTTTTCACTGCTGTTTAACACTCTCATATTACAGAAGATACTTTTCCACTTTCCACCTCTATAAATACTACAACAGTGACTTAAAGGGGAGAAATCAAGCTTGATGCACAGGTTGGAGTCTCTATAGTCTGCACCTCAAGATTCGCTCTGGAATGTCACATGACGTCATGTATTTGGGATCGGGTTGCCTCTGGCCAGAAGATCCGGTCCACGAAACGATCCGCAACCCCAACTGAATGTGTTTTCTTAAATCATATTTGGTGACAGTCTGTATTTTTCCTTTAACGACTGTTCACATTTTAACGCTATCATCCTTATAAGAAACAGTTTTCATGCGCAAGACTGCAACTTTTAAATGCTCCCATAGAAAGCCCAACTCCAAACGATTCAGAGATTCAGAGAGTCGTGACAATTTTATTACGCGTATTAAATATATCATACATGTCTCTTATTAAAGTAACTTCCGTCCGGTCAAATCCTCAATATGCTCCAAGAACACTGTACTGTCAGCTCTATCGCTTTTAATATTCGAAACAGACGTTTCTCGAGTTCAATACAATGGTGAGCTTTTATAAAGCACCGCACGGACTGACTCAGTCCCATTAAAGAACGAATCGTTAGACCGTTTTTGTGAACCGGTTCAAGTGAATCATTGAAACGATTCGACTCAAAAGAACGCTATTCTTCAATGCACGTACCAGTTTCCCCATTAGAACGCTTCTCTGAAGTGTATGTGATTATTATAATGGCTATGTAGACGGAACTGGACCGTATGTACACAACATACAACATACGTCATGCTCATTACAACCTAGCCATTATAAAAGTATATTATTCGCGTGACGCTAAAGCAAACTTGTTGCTAGGAATTGACGTGTCACTTTCCAAATGTCTTTGGCATCTTTACCCGTGTCCTATAAAAATGTTACATGGGTAAAGGCATATGAATGCAACATGTTTAAATTATACAAACAGGCCCCTGTGTTGATAAAAAAATAATCGGTTTCCAATTCCAGAATTTTCCGGGGGAAATCCAGTGGACAGATTCACAATAGCGAATAATTATGTTATAAAAGCCTCCTTTTGTTAATTCTCACTTAGGCATTACAAGTGTCACTGAATTTTGATAAAGCAGCGTTAATGATGAATACGAATTACATTTTTCCTGCATAGCAAGTACACAAGATGCACATAGCGTATCAATTGAAATACACTACTTAAAATACAGCTGTCAAAATAGACACAAATAAAAGTAAAGTAAATCAGCTCACGCAAAAGTGTTAAGAGTTTAACGCACTAAGTTTCGTTTATGTATTGTTTCGTTTTCCATTCAATTCAAGACTTCCCTTTCCCATCAAAGAGTCAGCCGGCTCGCGCATTTCTGCAACTTGAAACTTTGCGAAACAACGTCTCAGAGCGCTTCTGAAAACTACATTACCGCGTTAATACTTTCAACAAAACGCGTCTACTTACCTCGGATTCAGTAAAACTCGCTTATTAACACTTTAGTCCCTAAATGCCTGTAATATAGAAAGCATGTCATTCCGTTGCTGCAAAGTCCACGGCGGACTAGACCAAACCATTGAAGAATTCCGCCATGTCAATTATGTGGAAGCGCACATGGGGGTGTAAAAGTTTACCGTATAACACCGAATACTCTCCCGTACCATTCCATCAGTCACCGCATTAATCATAACTGATAATAAAGACAAAAGGGGATGTTAGCAGGGCGTTAAGACAACGTGAAACCAAAAAAGTTGAATGAATTTTCCTAAATTGGCAGTTTTGTTGAAGTTTGCTTTGAAATAGAAGCAAGTTGAACCATACATTATTTTACCCTAAAGCATGAATTAAAAAAAAAAAAAATTGTTTTTAAATAAATAGTTTTTTTTTTGTTTATATGCAAACTGTAGCCTAACTACAACAACAATAACAATAATAATAATAGTTATTATTTACATATACAAGCAATTAATGTAAAACTCACGTGCTTTGTCCACAAACTGATTAAGTTCCTCTTTGTAGGTTCCACATCCTCAAACATGATATACACAGGATTTTGTTTAGAACTACGATATCTCACAAATCCACAAAAGTGGAATCTATCTAGAATTTCCCACTCATATTCCATGCTGTCATAACCGTACAGAGTTCAATTCAATCTAATATTTATTGTAATATTATACATCGAAATGTATGATATTCCAAACTCATAAGCTACAGCTTTTTAAAAGACTTTTGATTTTCCTGATTTGTGGGCCAGATTAGTAAGTAAACTTATCAACTCATTATAATAATGTGACATTAACGGTGAGTAAAAATCTACAGTAGCTACCTACTGTATTTTTAAGCTTTCGTTGAAATGCTATTTAATTAAGTTTTTCAAGTTTCATATATTTCTATAGAAGTATAGTAATCAGTGTGAGAATCGGTGACCATAATATAAAAGAGAAACTACAGCGCCACTTAGTGATCATTAACAATACTACAGTAATCAGATCAGATCTCATATTTGAGTGATTTGCTCACAGCCTGGGATTAAACCATGCTTTATTAGGACATTAACCATGAAGCATGCATTATCACACCAGGACATTAACAACCACTTCAATACGTGCAGAATTATCAAGATGACCAATATTAGCTATACATAAATATATCTCTATAACAAGAAATGTAATACTAATAGAAATAATAGCAGTTGTAGTAAAAGCAGTAAAATAGTATAACACGAGTAGTGCTTTCATCGTTGAGCTGACAGATGTCTGTTATACAGTACATTCCAATGTTACGTAGCTATGTAAACAACTGTTACATGACAGAACGTGAGGGTTATTTCAAAATAAAAGTCACAGTCTACTAGTAGAATACAGTGCAGGAAAAAAAATCAACATGAGATATCGTTTACTTAAACACTTGCGTGATTTTCGATATGTCTATCAAGGCAAGAGTAGTAAATAAATGCTAGCCATCAAAAAAAATAATTGCAACTTCACAAAATTAAAAACGATGGCTTCAGCGCTCTCATACCTGAGGACTTTTAATGTAAATTTTGCTGTTTCAAAACCACTGCTCTCTGGGGTCAGATGAGGTATTACAACATCATTCAGTCAATCACTGTCAACTCTGAGACCGGTGTAGTTTCATGAGTTTCTTGTGTTCTTTAACTGAAACCATAATTATCATGCGGTCTGTTTTGATCGTGGCGATTTTACTGTCAATAGCAGCTGCTTATTATATTTATCTGCCCCTGCCCAGCACAATATCAGAGCCATGGAAACTCATGTTTATGGATTCCGTTTTGCGTCGAGTAATGCATGTGGTAAGCTTTGCATTTGTTTCGGTTGTATATATAGTATATACATTATACAAATATGCACCATTGTCACTTAAATGATGATACAGTATTTAAACATAAATACTTTTAAAAATTAGTGACATGCCTGATTAAAATTTTAAAACCTTTCATGTGTCATTTTCTAGAAATTAACAAAAATATACGTCACACACACACATATATATATATATATATATATATTTTTTTTTTTCTAACAACATTGGTAACAACTTAAATAATACATATTGTTTACATGTGAAAATTTGATTATTTGTCTTTTCACCATATTTTTACTAACAATATATAAAATATATATTTTCTAACAACAAATAAAAAGCTTAAATTAAAAGATTGGCTCATTTGTCTCAAAAAATAAAAGAGATAAATATTTGATTATTTGTCAGTTCACCATATTTTTACTTCAATTAATTGAATATCACTTCCAAAGATTTATTAAAAACTTGACATTTCTATGATTGTTGTATTATTGTAATTGTTGACCTCTGAATGCCAAAATCACCAAATATTTTATGTCTTTAAATTTACCATACACACTCGTTTAATCTTGTTAAATAATGCAAAAAAAAAAAAAAAATCTAATAGCTCTTTAATAAAAATTAAAAATGGG